TACAAACTAAAAAATACATCCTACTTTGGGTTATTTTCACCAAAGACATGTAGCAGAATACATCTTGGCCTAAATTTATGAAGAACAATTATTTATTTGCAAACTTTTATAACAGAAACAAAGAAAAACGTGTTTTTTTTTTCAAAATTTTTTTGTTAATTTAGCAAAAAATAAAAATCCCAGTAGTGATTAAATACCACCAAAAGAAAGCTCTAGTTGTGTGAAGAAAATGATAAAATTTTAGTTTGGGTACAATGTTGTATGACCGCGCAATTGTCATTCAAAGTGTGAGAGCGCTGAAACCTGCAAAATGGCCTGGGCAGGAAGGGGTAAAAGTGCCTGGTATGGAAGTGGTTAATGTCTAAACCGCTGGCAACAAAAGTGAGTACACCCCTTAAGTGAAAATGTCCAAATTGGGCCCAATTAGCCATTTTCCCTCCCCAGTGTCATGTGACTCATTAGTGTCACAAGGTCTCAGGTGTGAATGGGGAGCAGGTGTGTTAAATTTGGTGTTATCACTCTCACTCTCTCATACTGGTCACTGGAAGTTCAACATGGCACCTCATGGCAAAGAACTCTCTGAGGATCTGAAAAAAAAATTGTTGCTCTACATAAAGATGTCCTAGACTATAAGAAGATTGCCAAGACCCTGAAACTGAGCTGCAGCACGGTGGCCAAGACCATGCAGCGGTTTAACAGGACAGGTTCAACTATACTGTCTCCCTCTGTTTGTAAATATGAGTCGTATGTTAGATGTATGTAACTCTGGGAATCCCTGTATACAGTACATACTATATGGGGAAGAATTAAGAAATTATAGCCTGTGTGTGCCTCACCATCTTATAACTCATCATGTTTGATTTGTGCCTTGTATATAGAAAATAACTAAACTCTCCCTAGCTTTGTGTCTGGCACATATAATATAAAGTGGAATTAAAGGCTAGAACAAACTAAGCTTAGAAATGCCCCTTCCATCCTTCTAACTCCTATACTAACTACCCATGTAGAAGGAAGATACTTCCTTATTCTCAGGGCACGGCGGTCTTTTCAAGTGATTTCCCCAGTGTCCGGCTTCAGGGAAGAGGAGAGAGCAGCAACAACGGCTGGAATTCCTGAGCAGAAACAACACCCATAGGCTTACTATAGGCATCCGTCAGCTGTGCCTCCTGTCCCCTGAAGCCGGCTGCTGGGAGCTGGCCAGAGGGCCCTGAGAATATGTAGCCTGAGAAGCATGTTCCTTCTACAGAGTAGTTATTATAGGTGTTAGAAGGGGGTGGGAGCAGTTTTAAGCTTACTTCTTGCTTTTAACTCCACTATAAGATGGCCATAAACAGCTCAAATGTTGTCTGATTCCTGTGAATTGGATAAAATTCTAGCAATGGTTGTCCCTGCTGACACAATTCGTCTTAACAAATGTAAAAAAATGGAAGAAGCCAGGTTAAAGAGCCAATCAGCTTTGCTCACAGATCAGGTATTCCAAAATCAGTATCAGTGAGTGGCAGCTGTCAGAATACAATAGCTGACAGTGGGAGATTTATCTATCCACACTGTTTAGAATGAATGGAGAAAGATTTCTTTACATCTATGGCCAGCTTTACACAGGTTCTCTGGGTGAATAAATGTAAGTAAGGATCTAAGTGAACAAACAAAACATTTCCCAGCACAATTACCAGCCAGCCTGCAAAACAATTGAATTGACCCTGTCTAATAATTTACATTAATAACAGAGGGTTTTGTTTGCACACATTTGCAAATATATGTGTAACCACTGTGCCCACTACAAAGGACCTCTGTATATACTGTGGTCCTAAATCTCTAATTTCCAGAGTCTCCATATTAGGAGCACATATACCAATGGATAGGTTTAGGGCAGGTGTGCCAAGAGGAGTCCACTCCTCCTAGGAAGGGTGGCGATACAACTACTGGGACATTTTTTTTACCTTAATGCAAGGAATTGTTAAGGCAAAAAACGCTTTGACTTTTATATTAACACTATCATATTAACAATAATGTTTTTAAGCATTTCATATATATTCACTACAATATGTTATTTTCTGATTTACAGTTTGTAAGCATTTTAAACTTCTTTTTCTGAGTTTAGTTTGACAAGAAATACTCTCAGGATCTGTACTGCTAAAAGGTGTATGCACTGCTGGTCCAGTAACAATGGTATTACCACACCCTACCCATGTGGTGATGACTGGCAAAACATGTATACTAGCAATCATCATGGTCACTTTGGCACTTGCAGACTGCATATAGCCAGGCCCTTTCTGTGCATCACAGTGGCTTAGTAGTTAGTACTTCTGCCTGGCTGCATTAGGGCCATTGGTCAAGACTCAACCCCAACATTCCCTGTGCTTGCATAGTTTTCCGGTAGTCTGGTTTCCTACCAGTTCTCCTAGAAAAAATCATCTAATCCACTTCAAGCCATTCCATTCACAGTTTATCACGAATCAATATGCTCATCTCTAAAAGTGAGGGATGACAGAGGGCCAAGAGTCAGACATACTATACCAGTCTCATTCAACCTTTTAAACACAGAGGATCCATTGAAATAACTTTCAGGTCTCAGGGAACCCTTGCTAATATTATATCTACAGTTCTCAGAACATCAGCATGAACTGTAAGTTATCGATATAGGAAATAAATAGAAGAATAAAGAATTTGGTATACTTAGAGTAGTAAAAAAAATAATAATAACAGCCAGAAAAAAAAATGGACTCCATACAAATTGTATTGATCGATAATATTGGTGATCAATGAAAAATCTGTCCCCTTACACTTGTGGTCAGTGAAGTCCAAAGTTACTTTATTGGTCTGTAGAGACTGGCCCCCCTAGATTGGTGGTCAGTGGGGAAGTGCTACATTACATGCTCCCTGACATTTGTGGTCAGTGTAAATGTGCCCCCTTACATTGATAGTCAACATATGGCCCCCTGATGCTGGTAGTCAGTGAAGAGCTACATTACATTGGTGGTCTGTGGAAAATGACCTCCTTAGAGTGGTGATCAGTGTAGAGAGTTCCCATTACACTAATGGTCAGTGAAGTTCTATGTTACTTTGGTGGTCTGTGAATGGCCCTCTAGGTTGGTCAGTGGAAAAGAGCTATGTTATATGTTACCTCACATTGATGGTCAGTGGAAAAATGCCCCCTTACACTGTTAGTCAATGAAGAGCTACATTACATTGGTGATCTGTGGAGAATGACCTCCTTAAATTGGTGGCCAGTGGAGAAAGTCCCATTACATTTGTGGTCAGTGAAGCGCAACGTTATATTGGTGGTCCATGGAGAATTGCCTCCCTAAAGTCGTGGTCTGCAGAGAAATGCTACAGTATATTTGAGGTCTGTGAAAATTGTCCCCTTACACTTGTGGTCAGTGAAGTCCGAAGTTACATTATTGGTCTGTAGAGACTGACCCCCCCTAGATTGGTGGTCAGTGGAGAAGTGCTACATTACATGTTCCCTCACATTTGTGGTCAGTGTAAATGTGCCCCCTTACATTGATAGTCAACATATTGCCCCCTGACGCTGGTAGTCAGTGAAGAGCTACATTACATTGGTGGTCTGTGGAAAATGACCTCCTTAGAGTGGTGATCAGTGTAGAGAGTTCCCATTACACTAATGGTCAGTGAAGTTCTATGTTACTTTGGTGGTCTGTGAATGGCCCCCTAGGTTGGTCAGTGGAAAAGAGCTATGTTATATGTTACCTCACATTGATGGCCAGTGGAAAAATGCCCCCTTACACTGTTGGTCAATAAAGAGCTACATTACATTGGTGGTCTGTGGAGAATGACCTCCTTAGATTGGTGGCCAGTGGAGAGAGTCCCATTACATTTGTGGTCAGTGAAGCGCAACGTTATATTGGTGGTCCGTGGAGAATTGCCTCCCTAAAGTTGTGGTCAATGCTACAATATATTGGAAGTCTGTGAAAATTGGCCCCCCTTAGAGTGGTGATCAGTGGAAAGAATTTCCCACACATTGGAGTTTCATGGGAAGTGAGAATGCCACACTTTACAGATAGCTAAAAAGAAGATTGGTATCAATTGTAAATTATCTGAGAGGCAGAAATTGTTAATTGCTCAAAGAACCCCTAGCAACCTCTGGAAGAACCCTAGGGAAAGCTTGTTGAGAAAGGTTTCATTATGCAGTCATGCTTGCCAACATCTGGCCACTTTTTAGCTCTAGAGTTGGAAGACCAAAGAAAGCTCATTTGTAAAATGTCCAAATAATTTGCTGAACAACACTGACCTTTGCATTGTGTCAATAAACATTTTCATGCGTTCTGGCTGTCTAAACAATTTTTATGTGGTTTACAAATTGACAGAACCTTGGAGGTATGTTCACCTTAAGCGATACCGATCTCCCTACTGTGAAAATATTTCTCAGCCAGCTGTGTCTGGTAGTCTGCGACAGCTGCAGGTAAGCCGTTCAGCACGTGGGGTTAATTTTGTGTCTGCAGTTTTCAGGGACTGTGAGTGACACTTGCAAATTAATTATGCCTGGAGGAAAAGTGATTGAGGTGGAGGTGTGGAGGACAGGAGAATGAGTGAAGAGGAAAGGGGTAAAATTAGGGAGGATGGGTGGTGTGAGAGGGTGAGAGAAACTGCTAGAGGTCAGAAAAGAAAGAGCAGTAAGAATGAGACAACAGCAGCAAGGCAGCACAAATGTGAAAGGAAAAAAAGTGTGACACAAGGAAGAGAGAGGGTGGAGAGGAGGAGGGACTGCACACTTTTCATTGGATGTCTCTGCTTCTTTCCTGGCTAACACTTTCTGCTCTCCTCACTTCAATATCAAATTCTGCAATTACAGCAGGCAGCTCCAAACCATCCACCAGACCTTTATACTGCACTACTGCACTGTCAGCACTATTCTGATTACTTAAGTTAGTGTGTTGTTGTTAGTGACTTTTCTTTTAATTTTAAAACAAAAACTTCCACTTCAACTTTTTCTGACTTTTTTGACAGTTAAGTAGTGATTTTTTTTTTTTGTTGAAACAATGTCACTGAGTGGTGGCCTTTGGCCCCTGTTGCTTCTTTGGGTCTCACCTGGGTTGTTAGCTAAGGAGGTTCAGCCCAGTGAATATGACTATGTAGGCTTTCAGCCGGAGATGGTTCGGCATTATCAAAGTGGAAGGTTCTATTCAAGGACACCTCAATGCGTGGACATTCCTCAAGATCTTGCACTGTGCCATGGCGTGGGCTACAACAAGATGGTGCTGCCCAATCTTCTGGACCATGAAAGTATGGTGGAAGTGAAGTACCAAGCCAGCAGTTGGGTTCCCTTGCTAAGCAAAAACTGCCACCCAGGCACCCAAGTGTTCTTGTGTTCACTCTTTGCCCCAGTGTGCCTGGAACAGCCGCTCTACCCATGCCGATGGCTCTGCGAAGAGGTGAGAGATGCTTGTGAGCCAGTCATGCAGTATTTTGGCTTTTCTTGGCCAGAAATGCTTCGCTGTGAGCAGTTTCGGAGGGAGGATGTCTGCATAGCCTCACCAAATGCCACCCAGGCCCCACGTCCTCGTAGTAAGTATCACCTGCCAAGCTTGTACCCTACTGCTGCATCTGGGCGCACTTATATTCTCTTTGTTGTGTATTTAATGTAGAAATACAATGGTAGTAACCCATTCCTATTTCATGATTCAGCTTCAGGTAATTGTGTGCTGTGCTATGTCACCACTAATCTGGTATAGCTCTGTATTCTGAACTGAAGTCATTGTGGGCTGATACTGTCATTCAGTGGATTGCAGGTTTATTCTGATTCTATCCTTTGTATACATTTCTTAGAAGACATTGTGTTACATAGGAAAGATATTTGCAAAATGAATTAACATGAAAGCATCAGTGAACCTATTACTCGCATTCAATTTTTGGCAGACCCTGGTGAGTTGACTCATCACAGTATATCATGAGACTCCAATTATACAATTTCCCCAATGGGTTAGATTTGGAGGAGAGAAAAAAGGGACTATTGTTCCCTCCCTACTGCTGTAACTTGGAGTCTCACTCCTTCTGCTGCATTCCCATTAAGTGCGACCCCCGTTGTAGTGGCACCTGGTTGTAAGAAAAAAAAGAAGCTGCTGGATAATTTGGTTCCCCAGCATTAATCAAAGACTGCAGTGTCAATTTGGGCTAAATTCTTTCAAGCAGACAGACTCGATATAGTCATACTCGGCATAAAAAAAAATCATAGCAGCTACTCAGTTATTTAACCTGATATATATATTCAAAACAAAATTGTTATTAAAGTAATAGTTGATAATTATAAAAGAAAAAAAAGTAATAAAATGAAATGTAATGCTAAAATACTAAATATGCTCAGTATTGCAAAAATGTAGTCACTTTGCATGGCTAGCACTTTATTAATAGGACATTGCCTAGACATGCAGCAGATCACCTATTCAGTCTTGGGTCAATTAACCCCTCAGACGTTTTTTATACGTAATGTCAAATAGTCAGATACAGCTAACTTCACATAAATCATACCAGCTTCTGTTCTGTCTTTCTCCTTGCTGATGGATTGTCTTTGCATGCAAAAAGATCTTCCCACAAATTTGCAAATATCCCTGTGTTATAATGACCGCTTCCAATGCCAGAGGCACTCATTACCCCCTGCCCCCTGGAACACATAAATGACCCAAATTGTGATAGAAGTTTGGAAAATTACTTGCTATATTTTGGCAGTTTATGTCCATCCTAATTGTCATTTTATCCTTAGCATTCAGAATCTGATCAGCACACAAATCTCAGTACCCATGCAACTGTTTGCCACAGTGTTGAAAAATTAAACAGAGGGTGTCACATTTGCTGATTTTCTACTGCTGCTTACTTGGCAACAGCAACATGTACTAAAATAAAAATGATGTTTGCATTGTAAAAGATCACGCTCTATCATTTACATTCTCATGCAACAGAAGCATGCAATGTAATTTTCAAATTGCATTCGGCCACATTCACTGCTTGATCTTTTTTGCATAACTTTCTAGCTTTTAATGAGGCTTAGTGCAAATTACAGTGCAGAGTAACTCATATAGTATTCTTTAAAAAATTAGTTTTCAATGATTTGGCTGAACTAATGATGACAGCTGAAATATCATTGATGCCCATGGGCTGTTTCATTGTATAGCTGTAACTATATTGGATTTGTAAATGATGTTCAAGTTTAATCATACAGTATAAATATTTATTAGCAAAAACATTGGATCATCCTTCAGAACTGTACAGTGGGAGCACAGATGGTAAGCATTACACCCATGTGATGAGCCCTAACCCTGATATCACATCAGATCTATGGTATAATGGAGAACCCCATTCACTGGTTTGAGTATAGAATGGTAAAGTGTGTCTGGTATGTACAGCTCGCTATACATGGAAGAATTTGGAAATAAATTGGAAACTAACATATGTAATGTTGGGGAATCTCACTATCACAGCCTATGGCAGTAGTAGTAAGCATTGGATTACTTGCTACTTGAATTACAAAGATGAAAAGAACATCGCAAGGAATAATTTTCTTACCAAAATGTTGATGCGGATCTCGTGTGTGTGCTGATGTAATATAAATTTGCACTCCATACACAGGGACATCATTATATAATTGAATCAGATAAAAGGTCCTGTTCAGTAGAATTTAATGATAAATGGGCTGAGATTAAAAGAATAGAATATAACTGGCAATATGCCAGTAGAATTTGTTTAAAAAAATTATCTTTTTTGGACTGTTTGATTTTCTAATTGTTAATGGGGTCACATCGACTTTCTTTTACATCTGTAGTGATATGAAAATTCAAAGGAGCAGTATAGAAAGTAATTTGTAAACTAATAAAATTCCATATGTTGTTTTCGGTCAGGAAAAATCATACATATTGCAATACCTGTATTATAGGCACAAAAGAAACCTCTTTAACACATCTTGGGTTCTATTCCAGTAGCAGCTCTGGATGAAATTTTAAAGGTTTCTAAATGAAAGTAGCTCAGTTAACAATGGCAAGATCGAATTCTTTAACAAATTCTTTTTCAAAATGTGGTATAAAGGTTTAAACAAAATTTTATGGGTGTATGACCTGCTTAACTATGACCCATGTCTCCACACCTTTAGTTTTGAACCACAATTCTTTTCACTCTGTTCCACTGGGAACTTGGTTGTTCCCATGATTCCTATACCCATGGTAAGTTGCTGCCAATTGCTTTATAAAGCAACAACATTTAAATATTAATGGCTGGGTATGGCTGCATGATTGCTTTGGGCTTTTAGCCTCCTGTGGAGAGGTCATGAAGTACCGAGTAAAAAAATGATCTTTTCTTACCAACTGTGTAATTGTTTTAATAAAGCTTTTTTAGAAGAAGTCAGAACATCGTGTAGTTCACCATGGTTGTTAAAGGATCTATGGCTTCTTTAGTCATCGGGCAGGTCTATCTATCTATGGGTACCATTATAGTACCATTGTGGTAGAAGAAATAAAACATTATGGATTCTTATCCTGACGCTACCCATAATTTTTAAGGTACATGCAATTTTATACTAGCTGGGGAATGTGGTCTCTCAGGATGGGTGCCATTGCATTAAAAGTCAGTTTAGCTCAACTGAAGTGTCCTTGATTGTCATTAGCATGGCACAACAGATGGCAATCTATAGTCAAGTGATTTCATTTGCTTATTAATTGCAACCTGGCAATAAGTAATCATAAAAAACAAATGATTGCCACCTTATGCCTCTAGGGGGGTGATTTACTAAAACTGGAGCCCTCATAATATGGTGTAGCTGTGCATGATAGCCAATCAGCTTCTAAGTTCAGCTTGTTCACTTACGCTTTGGCAATAAAACCTGGAAGAGGATTGATTTCTATGCACAGCTGCACCAGATTTTGCACTCTCCAGTGTTAGTAAGTAACCCCCTAGATGTCTTTATAAGAACCTTGGAGAAAAATGGCCATAATTTGCTTTATTCTTGGCTTCTGGTTACACAGACCTTTTCAGCTAGGAGGAGGCCAAGGGTCCATGTATAGAGCTCCCCCTCTGTGCAAACACATCTTATCTTCATAAGCCTAGCAGGATAAACATTTACATTTAAATGGGCAAGGGAGTGGACTGTTAGTGGAGAGGTGAGAAGAGGCCTTTACACATCAGAGTTAATATCCTACAGACTATACTAACTACTTAGTGAAGTCATTAAGGGAGGGGATTAGCTCTGACCTCTAGCACTGATGACCTTCCTTACTGTACTTTGAAACAACACACATAATGCAGATAACAGGCTTGTGGCCCACCCAGTCTGTTGTTGTCCCAGCACTCTTAGCTTGACCCTTGATATTGCTGAAAGTATGGCTCATGTCTGGAAGTATTGGCTGAATAGACCTGATATATAAACCACAACAATGAACTTCTCTTATTTGCTACCCTTTGGTCTGTTAAATATACAACTGAAAGAATTTAGTTTTATCTTTTCAATAAGTGTAACAAATACCTGTTGATCCTACCAGAAACCTTGTGAGCTGATCACTTTCTATGCTCTCTACCTGTGTTGAACTGGTATCAGTTAGATTAGCCATTCACATCCAGGGTTCTGTGGAACCCTAGGGTTTCTCCAGAGGTTGCTTGGGGTTTCTTGAGCTGTGGCTGGCTGACCTACCATCTGAAGGTGCCTGCATAATTCCTTGGTTCAATGCCACATGGCAGATCTTTTTAGCTGTCAGAGGCATTCTTCCCAATGACCCCACATTAATTAATTTTAGCAGGGGCTCCTTGAGACCTGAACATTTTTCAAGGGTTTCTCTGGGGAAAAAAGGTTCAGAAAGGCTGAGTTAGATTGTTCTACATTTGCTCAGTGGACTAGAGAACTGCTCCTATGTTATTGAGATGAAAAAATGGGGAGGTGTTTCATAGTCTTAGAATACTTCCTGTCCTAAAATAAAAACTTCTCTGTAGGTACAGTACATGAGTGTTGTCACTCTTGGATAGGAAGTGTGCTATGTGTGGAAGTGTGTTACTAGCAGGATTAACGGGTTAAAAAAGGATTTTAAAAGCCTGAAAAAAAAAAGAAAACAAATTCAGCCACTACATCTAAGGACTGGTAAGCTACAATATATAACATTTTTGGTCTGGGGTTTAGTTATGCTCTAAAAACAATTTTCACTTTAATACGTGTTCTAGTTGACGACAGATCTCAGCAGATGTGCATGTATGACATGCTGTACACACATCCTTGACATGTCTAAAAAGAACTCCATTCAGTTAACATAAATGGGGAAATGTGGGTCAGTGCCAAATATGCTGAAATGAAAGTTTTTCTAACAAAAAACAGCATGACACATCTTATTTCAAATGCAATCTGGTTTGAATAAACTATAAATGTACCCCATAAATATACAGGGGTTAGACAAAAAAATGGAAACACTACATGGTTTGCAGGTGTGAAAGTGACAATGGAAGTGATGTAACATTCTTTTGCTTCCACTGTGTGATGAGACACCTTAGTAACAGATGGGAAGCCTGCTAATTTACTGCTAATTAGTAATGTCACAGCTTACTGAGCTTCAAAGCCTCTGTACCTCTGACCGAAGTTGGCAATTATTTGCGGTGTCATGAGGTACAGTATCAAAGGTTATTT